CCTACATTTTTTTTTATTTACTGCTGAGTAGTATTCCACTGTGTAAATGAACCACATTTTCCTTATCCATTCATCAGTTGAGGGACACTTAAATTGTTTCTGTTTCTTAGCTGCTATGAAAAGAGCAGCCACAGACATGGCCAAGCAGGTATCTCTGCAGCAGGGTGTTGAAACTTTTGGATATATGCAAAGTAGTCTCATAACCAGATCCATATAATAGATTTATTTTTAGTTATTAAATAGTTCCCCATACTTCTACCCACAGGGGTTGCTTCCAGTTTGCAATTCCACAAAAAGTAAATGACTGTTCCCCTTGTCTACACCCTACAATGTCAAATATTCAGCCAAAATTTAATTCTTTTTGAAACCACAGACAAGCACATCCATCTCATTAGTATGCAAATTTGCTTTCTTCTTTAACAAATGATAAATTATATGTATACTAAAGAATTATTTTAAAATAAAATTCCAGTGATTTATTATCAGTAAATGTTTGCTTTCCATATCTATGTTACATACACACATACCTGGGAATCACATGAAAATTCCTACAGTAAAAAGGGGTCATGAGTGGAAAAAATGTAAGAAGTCCTGTTTTGTATCAACAGGGATTATTCTCACCTGGAGGGAGAAAAAGGACTCCACGCACCCGACCTTCTCGGATCTGTTTCCTCTGCACTCCAGGACCAGAGAACCAGCGCTGCACCATCTGGCTGGCCTTGGGTTGAATTGTGGCTGAATCATTTAAGGAAACAGAGTCATACAAATCCAAAGTGATGTAAAAGGGGCTGTTCATCACATCTTTCTTGATTAGCCTCCGGAATGCTGTCTTAGGCTTCAGAGACCAAAAGAGACCCATTGGATGGACCCCTATATAATCGCCTCCCAAAGCTGATGCCCACTCCAGGTCCACCTCACCAGCTTCGCTGGCTTTGTAAAAAGCTCTGGATTGGAACAAATTCTCCTTCTCATCCTTCAGTGTTGCCTTGAGGGTCACTATCTGAGATGGTGGCAGGCCTGTCACTCGGATGGTCACGGGCTCATCTGCAAGGGCAGTTGAGGGGGTGACTATCAGCTGGAACATTGGCAACTGGTGAATAGGTCAAATGGCACTTCCTTGAAGTGAGAGGGGAGAACTATGGGTTGGAGACTTAAAGTCCAAGGAAAGACAGCCAAGGCTGATGTTGGATCTGGTCAAATTAAACTTACAAGGACTTCGATAGAAGATATGCAGAACTCTGGGGAGAAAGAGAAAGAAAGTGAGATATGTATAAAACACTCTGAGTCTGGTTTTATGAGGAACTGAGTTAAATGGCATGCTCAAATTTCAGTTGAGAGAATTAGTAATTCAAGCCAGATCAGACCCATGGTTTCCTATCTTAGCTATTATAACACTGTAGTTTTGTGGTTTTAAATAAATTGAGCATTAGTCCTATTGAAATTATATCCTCCCATATGACCAATTTCACAAATGTTTGTAAGGACTTGGGATAACACATGAAAAATAGCCCCATTCCTGTCTGGAGTAGTCACAAAACAAGCAATCTGTTATGGTGGTGGTGTAACTAGAGTCCCCTTTGCAGATACTTGGTTTCATTGTTAAAAATGGGCACAGAAGGAAACTTCAGGAAAATTTACTGGACTCAGAGAAAGAGAAAGAGTGCCCTGAAAAGAGACAGAGGAGGGGACGTAGAAAGACACCCTTTTTCATTACATTTATTTATTCTCTGTGTGTGTGTGCCTATGTGTGTGCATGTATGTGTGTGTGTGTCTATGTGTGTGTGTGTCTGTGTCTGTATGTGTTCACATATACATGCATGCAGGTGCATGCCATGGAAAGCATGTAGAGGTCTGAGGATGACCTGAAGCAGTTGGTTCTCTCCTATCATGTGGGTCCCCAGGATCAAACTCAGATTGTCAGGCTTGGCAGCAGGTACTTGGACCTGTTGAATCATTTTTCTGGCCTGGAAAGTTACACTTTTAATAGAGTAAAAGCAAACTATACACCTTGGATAGACAAGGTCAACACAGAGGGAAAAGTGGTTGCTCAAAGCCTTTGGTCCTTGTATTTAGTGAAGTAGTGAAAATTTGTCTTTCTCCCAGAATGACCTTGGGCCTTGGGCTTGAAAATGGTCTTCTACACTTTGGGGCCAACTAAGGAAGAAATAGTCAATCTTAATATAATTTGATTTATAGCCAAATATAGTGATGCATGCTTTCAATCCCACTATTTGAGAGGCAGGAGGATGAACACAAGTTTGAGGTCAACCTGGGCTACATAGCAAGTTCCAAGCTAGGCTGAGTGGCCATATAGTGAAATTCTGTCTCAAAAGAAAACACATGCACACACACATATGTAATATAGTCACATGTATGCACATATGAGTATGTATATACACATAATACTGTTTAACATTGTGCCGAGAGTTGCTCTGTGTGGCATAAAACTCGGGATATGTCTTAGATAGGAAGGAATACTAATTTTACTTACTGTTTTCGGTGTGCCGTTTACTTTTGTGTCCTGGAAGGAAGAACAACGTTTATTCCCATCAATTTACCTTTAGTTTTATTGGCTTTAGGCCAAGACAGAATAACTAATTGTATCCACGCTTATCAGTTTGACTTGTGGCTTCGAGATCAATCTAAAACCCCTGCCATTGGTTCATCTTTAAACTCATAATTAGTCACAAATGGACTTTATCATTTACTAAAAGACCAGTGTTGGGTTTGGGGGTTTTGTTTTGATTTGGTTTGGTTTGGTTTTGAGATAGTTTCTCATGGAGCCGAGTTGGGCCTCGAACTCTTTATATAGCTGGGGCTAGCCTTGAAACACCAGTACCTCATAAGCACTGAGTTTATTTTTAATCTAGGAATGGAACAGAAGTGCCTGAAAATGGGTTATACACACAAACAGATGCAATGAGAGACACACACACATACTTTTATTTTTCTTTAAAGAAATAGGTCTTGCTCTATGCCCAGCCTAGCCTCAGTCTCATGAGCTGAAATAGTTCTCTTGCCTCAGCCTCTCATGTAGATGAAATAGGTACACCTGTTTCAGAAAATCAATTTCTTAAGTACAAAGAAAATTTGTCCTTGAGTATTTCCTACTTCCAATGACATGTTTACTTCAGTGGAGAGTTAGGCATTGCAGTGGTTTGAACAAGAATGTTCCTCATAGGCTTCAAATATTTGAACACTTGGTCAGTTGGTGGTGTTATTTGGATCATGGAAACTTTAGGACGTGTGGCCTTGCCGGAGGAAACGTCACTGGGGACCAGCTTTGAGAGTTCATAGTCATGACCCATGTTCAGTCTGTCTCTCTTCTTCCTGAGCCTTCTTGAAGATATGAGAGCTCAGTTTTCTGTTTTAGCTGCCCTCCGACAAGCCTCCCCGCCCATGATGGACTCTTATCTCTCTTATCTCTCTCTTATCTCTCTCTTATCTCTCCAGAACCATAAGACAAATAACTGCCTTGGTCATGGTGGTTTATCACAGCAACAGAAAAGTAACTAACACAGATATCGAGGCCCTTTCCTTTTCTTTCCTTTCCTTTTCTTCTGCACTGAAAGAACTTTCTTGACTCATAAATACAAGTCCCAAAGCCTTCATTTTGCATTTTCCATAAAATAAAATGAAAGACCTTTGAAGAGGAGATGCTTGTTACTACTCTTTTCTGTGAAAATGTTGTTGAATAATGACACACGTATACATCAAAGCCTCATATGCGAGCTTTCCTTCTTGGACAGGCCTCCCTTGTCCTCTCCTTACAGAGCTGGTAACTTTCTCTGTTAGAACGACAAGGGCAGTATAACTGGAAAGACAGCCTTTCTCCTTTGACTATCAGTAGTTTAGTAGCAAACTTGCAGTTCACAAAATGTTCTCCTTTTCATATTTGAAATTTTCTTTGACCAATGTCTATGTTTCTAACTCCTATTTTCCCAGATCCTATTTTACTCTTATTATACTTTTTAACCTGTTATCTGTCAAAAGGTTAAAAACATTGTGGAATGAGGAACAAGGAAGGAGAAAAGGTTGGAAGAAGAGAAGAGTTACCTGCACCCACACCTTTCCCACCACGAGGGACCGTATTCCCTAAAACCATGAGCCAAAATAAATCCTTCTTCCCTTAAGTTGCTTCTTGTCTCGAATGAGAAAAATGGCTAATACATTTTGTTACCAGGACTCAAGATTTCACAGGTGTTGTCAAGAAAAATAGTCCCAGAAACTGAGATTATCTTAGCAAGGTTGACTTTTATTTATTTATTTATTTATTTATTTATTTATTTATTTATTTATTTGTTTATTTATTTTTGGAGACAGAGTCACCCTGTAGCCCCAGCTCTCTTGGAATTCCCTATGTAGACCAGGCTGGCCTTGAACTCACAGAGATCCACCTACCTCTGGGATTAAAGGCGTACACCACCACGCCCTGCCCTACTTTTATTTTTTTTAAGATTTTATTTATTTATTTTGTTTGTTTGAGTGCTGTTTTCTAAAACAAGGTTTACTGTAGTCCTAGCTGGCCTTAAACTCTCCATGCAGACCAGGCTGAACTTAATTTCAGAGATTCACCTGCCTCTGCCTCCCAAGTGCAGGGATTAAAGTCTTGTGCCATCATACCTAGCTTGATTTATTTTATTTTATCTGTATGAGTATTTTGCCTGTATATATGTAAGTGCACCCAAGTGTGCAATACACTCAGAAGCCAGAAGAAGGCATCAGATTCCCTGGAACTAGAGTTAACAGCCATTGTTAGCTATCGTGTGGGTGCTGGGAACCGAACCTGGGTTCTCTATAAGCATCTAGTGCTCTCAACTGCTGAGATATCCCTCTACTCCTGATATTTTATTTTATTTATTTATTATTATTATTTTTATTTTGTGTGTGACTGTACTGCTTGCATGTATGTAAGTGCACCCATGTCATGCAATGTCAGTGGAGGTCAGAAGAGGGTGTCGGATCCCCTGGAACTGGAGTTAACAACAGTTGTTAGCCACCATGTGGGTACTGGGAACCAAATCCAGGTCCTCTACAAGAGCAACCACTATGTGGATGCTGGGAATCGAACCCAGGTCCTCTACAAGAGCAGTCAGTGCTCTTAGCCACTGAGCCAACTCTCCAGCCCCTAGTCCTGATATTTTAAAGTTAACTTTTTTGAAGCATTAGGACATTTTTATTAGAATTTGAAGAAAAATCCTCAGGGTAGACAAGATGTGAATCTAGGCAGCTGCCTTGAGGAGGAGAATGGAGGGGAGAAGGAAAAAAAGTCATGAAGCCAGGCAGGTTTAGAGCCTACATGGAGGTCAGACACATGGTAGTCAAACACCTCTAATTCTCCAACTTGAATTCTTAATTGAGAATTAAAAGAACAAGGGCCAGGTGTGGTGGTATACACCTTAATCCCAGCACTCTCGGGAGGCAGAGGCAGGCAGATCTCTATGAGTTCGGGGTCAACCTGGTCTACATAGCAAGTTCCAGGCCAGCTGGGGCTACAGGGAGACCTCGTAAAAAAAGAGAAGAAGAACAAGGAATTGGGTGACAATTTCCCCCTGCAAAGCAGCATCACTGGGAAGTCTTTGGGTCCTTCCATTCCTGCTGAGTAGAGAACATTGGCTCTTGCCATGGTTCATCCAATTTCAGGATCCCTGTGCATCCTTCCTAATTCACATCTTTCTAATTCTCAATTAACAGAAGACATTTTGGCTGCTTGTTGATCTTATATTTTACTTTAATTTTTTAGAGCCAGTTATTTTACCTACAGAGCTGTAAATGCATTGATTACTAATTTCTTTGTTTTTGAAGATACTTTGAAAATATCTAGTGGCATCTACTGAGCAGTAGATCTGCTGGCAGGTCCACATTTCAATTTTTCTGCCTGCATTCATTAATGAAGAATTGAACCAATTTACCAAAAGTTTTCCTTTATGTTATAGCCTTAGGGTCTATGCTCAGGACACTACCTGATGTCTCTTCTTTTCTATCTTTATTTTGCTTACAATGTGGATTTGTTTGGTTCAATACATCATTAAAAGTACCTGAACTTGCCTTATGAAGAGCATTTTATATTTTCTTACATTCTCAAACAGGCTTTTAGGAAACTTTCA